CTATGCATTCTTCGGATCGCGGGTCACCCAAGTGCTGTTCAAGTGCTACCTAGCTTTTAGCTCTGTCCATGTTGAAATATCTTGGCGCTCGCTAATGAGCGTTGCTGCTTTTCCCGTTAGTCTTGAAGTAATTACGTGGTATACGTATAGGTCTTGGTCCGGGTTTCCATCTACTCTACATGTTCTGATTACATATTCGCACTTTTGAATAAACAAGTTGAGTAATTTTTCATCGCCGTTGAAGACGGGGATGACACTCATTTCACGCGGTATCTGAACGATGCGGTCCAAGGTTTGTTTATTTATTCGCGTTGGTGTCAATGGATGTGATCGATTTTTGTATCACTCTATAAACGTCCGAACGCGATTAAATTCTAAGTAATATGTACAAGGTTACAAACTATTAAACTAAACTTAACACTTAATAAACACAATTAATTTCCTTTTACTTTAATTAATTTCTTTTAACTTCAATTAATTTTTTCACTTTATGATCGGGTTCGCCTTTTCATAAATTAATACTTTTATTTTATTACCTATATGAGTGATTAGGATTTCTCTTTCACAAATATGGTTTTTCACACAAAAATTCATATTAACTTAAACTAGCAAAGAAAATAAAATTACTTACTTTTGATGTTTGAAAAATACGCAATTTTAGATTCAGACAATTATCTAGGATCGAATATGACAGGATAGAAAGGAATAGCGATTTTGGTCTACTCACAAACTGCCCATCATTCGAAGTTGAGTCTGCCGACGAATAATCTCCAGGTGCGGTCGTAGAGGCTTTTCCAAGTTGACAAATTTGTTTGTTCGGTGGATTTCCGTTTAAGGCAACAAGAAAGTGCCCGGCGCACACTGAAGGTAAGTGTTTTCGCGTCGCGGAAATCCTACCGGCTGCGCCAGTCAAGTTGTGGCCTGCCCGGAGTGTCTTTTAAAAAATACAATTTTTATTTAAGGAGACGTTTATTCGTCTAGAGATGCGGCTTAAGACTAAATGTTCTGAAGGAACTTTCGCGGCTCGCAGGCCAGCGGGATGTTTAGTCTACGAAAGGTTTCTGTCAACTCTTCATAACAATTCCTAGAATATTGGTTGCTGATCATGCAGCATTGAGGAGTTGGCAGATGTAACTACCTACGTCAAGTTTTGTTTACATGCCGAAATGACGTCATAAACATGGCGGACAGCGCAGAAGCCTGTTTTCGCGGGAATAAATATATTCAAAATTTTGAAGTATTTTTATGGCATGAAAGCGGGTTTATTTCGCCGAAATATTTTTTTTTGGTGGCTTTTAACGATGAAAAGAACATATTATAGTACTTTGCCAGAGTGAAATACCCTATTATTGCTCAAATAGTATACATAAAAAATCAAATTTAATGGTATAACGTTAGTAGAATTACAGTCTATTGAATATACAGAAAAAGCCACCGTAAAAGTTAAACTTTCAGCTTTTATAAAAGGACGTAGGTCTGGCGTTCACTAGCTCTTAGTCTATTACGAAATGGAGGCATTTTTTAATGATTTTAAATCGGTTAAAGTCATCATTTTTTCAAAACTGCCTATTTTCAAGAAATCATACCTAGGCCGCCAATATCCAGATTAGCCTTTTACACGGGTATAGGTTAGGTTTAAACTTAAACGTATTAAACTTTGGAACATGATTATGGCAAAAAATGTCAAAAGTTCATTAGTGGAGTGGACTCGTCAATTGCGATGTTAGGTATAGCGAGCTGTTGTTTAGATGGTTTATAATGGGTAATAGTTTTACCAATTCGTTCGAACGAATGAAGGCACAAAACTGCCTATTTTCAAGTAGGTAATCGTACCTAGGCCGCCAATATTTAGATTTTACGGGTATAGGTATTAAACTTTGGAACATGAGTATGGCAAAAAATGTCAAAAGTTCATTAGTGGTCAGCGGGACCCACTTTTTAATAGCCGCATAATTTATAACATCAGGAGATGAATACTTCCGGTGATCAGGCTTACTGGTTAACACGTTAAAAACCGGCCAAGTGCGTGTCGGACTCACGCACAAAAGGTTCCGTACCGTTGATTTATGAATTTTTTTTTTAATTTAAGTTATTTGTATGAAAGATTACGCGGTAATAAGCGGTTTACGATTTACGAGGTATTAAAAAAACTACTTACTAGATCTCGTTCAAAACAATTTTCTCGTTGGTAGTTTTTATAGTAATGTAGGTATGTTTTTTTTAGATTTTTCATTTTCTTATTTTAGAAGATAGAGAGGGGGGGGGGTACTTTTTTCCACTTTGGAAAAAAGTATTTTAGAAACCTCGATATCATTTTTGAAGACCTATCCATAGATACCCCCACACGTATGTGTTTGAAGACAAAAAAAACTTTTTGAGTTTCAGCTCTAAAGTCTGTTCGCCGAGAGTTGGTAAAAAAAATTAAATATCAGAGGTTCTAAACTCATTATAAATTGCGGCCCGCTAATTAATTTTGTCGATATAATGAATAAGTTGGTAGATTACACTGCACAACAGCATTTCTGATGATTGGGTTATGTTACATGATATTAGTCCAATTTTTAATGACGATTTCAAATCTGTGATTGAAATATCTGTATCAGCTCTGGTTAAAAAAATATGACACTTGGGTCTTTTTGTAAAAAAAACACTCTTTTTTTAGAGATGATCCTATTTTATGAAGTTGTTAAGTTGAAAAAACTTTCTTTTATTTGACTTCCTTGCTGATGCTGAAGGCAGACAGCTCTTCTGAATGATTCAACAGCAGTCAGCCATCATGTGTGCATTCCAGTGGCCCTGATAGCGTCCCTCTATCGTACGAAGGCCCTGGTGGATTTGCTCGCCATGTTCTTCAGTTAGATCCTTAAGAGTTGTAATAAAATTATTCAGGTGATTGCGAAGAGAGTTTAATTCGATGTTTATATTACATCCAACCAAAAAAACATGTTTGTAAGTGACTCATACGTTGTTCGATGTGTAAGAATAGTAAGATATTTTCGGATTTTCCAAAAAAAAATTAAAATGCCAAAATAACTCATTCCATGTCTTTTCGGAAGACTTGAAGATCCTAAATCTCTAAAACGATCGTTTAAACCATCTTGGCTACATGGTTTTGAAAATTTCGGGTCACATTCAAAGTCTCTACCACACTGACAGTTTTCGCCTTAAAATCCTCATGTGAAGTATCAACATGAGGTTCAGGTGACTTCTTAGGGTTGAAAAGACGTCTACATGCCAAACGTATGCAAGGAATTACTATTTAGTTCAATATTTTTTGGTTAATATCATTTTTGTTCAAAAATAAAAATAACAGTCGTCGCGATGGTTCAAGGGTTCCTTTCAGATCATAGCGGTTTCGTACCTAAATCTACACATATTCTTATTTGTTTATAAACGTAAAAACTCAACGCATCTTTTCCACGCCTTTTGCGGAATTCAAGGCTTATCTTTCATTTCCACTGGGACCCCAAACTAATTTTTTTAAGCCAATTTTACGAACTATGTCACATTTAAACGGATTATTTAAACATATCCTCTTCGCAAATGAAACAAAATTGATTTAGATAATTCACACAAACACTTCTTAATGCTACCATATTAAATTATACAAAGAAAACATAGTATTTTTTGAACTGTCGGCGAATTAAGACTGAAATTTAGCAATTTTTGAGTGAAAGCTATAACACGTAAACAAGAGCTGCTACGAAAAAATGGACGGCAGTTTCAGAATCAGCGACGTCAAATTAGTAAACATCATGTAATAAAAGTCAATCATCAGCCAAAAGTTGCAATTTTGTTGTGCAGTGTTATCATTATTATCTCTTTTAAATTTACAGGAATTATTCCGTTTAGTTAGGGCATACGTGGGGATACGGATCAAACACGTGGCGTCCATGTGTTAGATAAAAAGTATTTCATTATTATCAAGTGGCTTATAGTGTATCCCAATGTTGGGCAAAGCCCTACCCACTGTCATACCATTCATTTCGGTCTTATATAAAATAAAGATAAAAACTTATGTCTAGAATATTTATTACATATCTTCGGATGACGAAGATGATGTGTTTTCCGAGTCGGAGGAAGAATCCGTGACGTTTATTACAAAACGCTCAAAAGCTTCGTCTACCCTGCCATCAATTTGTAAAAATTTATCCTCTTCTTTTATTGCATGATCAATGCATTTTTTCCAAGTTTCAGCGTCTACGTTTTGCATGGCCTCCACTAATAATCTTTTAACTTCTGGCAATTTAAAAGTTGTATTGTTGCGTGCGACATGCCCTTTAATATTAGCCCATATTAATTCAATAGGGTTTAGCTCGCAATTATAGGGTGGTTGTTGCTTGTGTAGGGGCCAGGGGACGCGATGACAAATGAAAACTGCTTTTTTCAAACTGCACTGTTTTTAATTGCACACGAATCACATACTAGGTACATTGAGAGTGACGGACAAAAAAGGACTGACAATTTTTTCGACAATCGGTTCGCTCCTTCCCCTCCCCGCCGCCGTGCCCGCCCCCCCCTCGCGCGTGGCGCTGCAGGGCGGCGGATAGCGGAACCAAATGAATTTAAATTTTAGGCGCGAATGAATTTAAATTTTAGGCGCGTCGCTAACAGTGGTAATCGTAAATTTCAATATCTTTTGTTTTTGCATATTATTATTCACCAATATGACAAGCTTGATAATTATTTTAAATTAATTTCACTTTTTCCAAAAGATGAACTCTTATTTCACTTTCATCGAAAGTGATATCTTTGCTCGCCAGCCAATTTTGAATGTCTGCTTTTCTCCAGTTTGACGTTGGGGTTTTTTCGACTTTGCGAGAATGATATAGATAAACATGCAGTCAGTGTTCAATGTATTAATTGATAACTATCAAGATCACTACCTAGGCATTCTTGAAAATCTAGAAGATATAGAGACCAGACCAAGGCGACCTAGAGTATTTCAAGTGCGTCGTAATTATTACGAAGAATTTTGTAACACTTTTTTTGGCGAGAATAAATACTNTAAGGGCCGAGTTCACCGACTTTCAAAACGGCTGTTTAACACTTAAACTACTGATCAAGTCATTTTTAATGTTCACCACACGTTAACCAGTGTTTAAAGCCCTTAAACAGCCGATCATTATAACCGAGGTCCAAAGCATCGTTTAACCGTCGTTTAGCCTACCATGTGTTGGACACATGCCATTTTTTCTATGACTTTAGCTGCAACAGTTGCATCATTATTTCGAAGTTCGCTGGTTTTGAGAATAGATAAACATGCAGTCTGTGTTCAATGTATTAATTGATAACTATCAAGATCACTACCTANGCCCCTTACACGAGTAGCAAAATCGGACATTCTATTCGAACGAATTCGATTTTCGAAAAGTGTGACTTGTCTAGTCTACTAGACCTACTGATCGCGTTCGAAGCACCTGTGCAGCGCTAAACTCGTTACGACATGCAACATGACAATGGGACAACTATCCGGCCGCCGGATATCCGGCTATCCGGCCTAGCAGCTCGCCGGATATCCGGTATCCGGTATCCGGCCAAACAACTATCCGTTTCATCTCTAATGTAAACTAGGCAGGATGGTAAGTAGGTACATAATCTGCCCTGTACGTGCTTATTCACTCTCGCCTCGAACTCGGGAACTACTGGTCTGATTTCTTGAGGAAGGCTTTGGGCTATTTTACATCACCCTACAGCGAATAGGGGCGGAGCAGTCAAGAAAAATTTTGCAAAACGGGAAAGATTATTTAAAAAAAATCACGCGTACGAAGTCGCCGGCACAGCTAGTATTATTATATTTTCATATAATCACGCTATGGCAATTAGTATTAGGAGGTAATTAGTATTTTTTTTTTTAAATGAAATTAATTATTAAAAAAAATAATTAAAGATTTCACGGTTTTAAAGCTATTTGTTTTACGGTTTCATTATTTGAAAAAGCTTTGGTTGACCTCAAAAGCTTTTTGTGAAGAAGGTTTTACTTATGATCGGAAGGTTTTGGGTTCGTTTCTCTGATAGGACAACCAATTCACTTTGGAATCTCTGTAAGCCTTCAGGCAGCTTTCTAAATAAATAAATAGTTCTGAAATGTCACTTCCCGATGTTTTGAGTTTAGTTACGATTTTACAGGCTTGAATCCTCTCACAGTCTGAAAATACCAGCTGATTTAAAATTTTGTGCTACAGAATGTCTTTAATTCAATGTGTTGTAATTTTTTTTTCCTAATTAGAAGAATAAAATAAGAATTCTTTATTTTTTTATAATTCCCTACTAAATTGTAGTTAGTACCAGATTGTAAAACAGTTTTCAGAATTTCAGACCACTCTGTATGTAACCCCAAGGTATATGACCGGGCAAGAGGTCATGTGATCAATATTCCACAATTTATGGATACCTGTCACATAATGCCAGCACAGCTTGCACTGTCCGAGCTTCGTTGCTTGCTAAGTAGGTGTTTAATTCTATAGTTAGCTTTATAAGAGTTCCGTAGTAAAATAAGGAACCCTTTAATTTCACCGAATTCATTCAGCATGCTATTTGTAGATCTAGATTTAACTCAGTCAATGCTTGAGGTATTTTGTCACGTCAAATGTCAGCGATACTTCAGATTTATTTGCTCTGTCACGTCTTAATATGTCAAAATCACCCCTCCTATGCTGCTCTCATATAGATGACCCACGCTGAACTGTCCCACCAAACTCAATGACAGGGGGGCGCTACCATCGTTTAACTATATGGTTTCCAACATGGCAAAAATCGGAACCAGCGTTTCGGTATTGACGGTGGCGCCCCACTGTCAAAGTCATGGATAGGACAGTTCAGTATTTTGGAACTACGAGTATACCTCAGGCACTGACTGAGTCAAGCACTAGGTCTTTAGATCTTAATTGATAATTTTGGATGGACAAATTAAAAATGCTTTTAACTTGGGACACCAACAAGGTGGACCAACGACTTGGTAAAGCAAGAAGGCGCTGGATGCAGGCCGCTACCAACCGGTCAACATGGAAATCATTGGGGGAGGCCTATGTTCAGCAGTGGACGTCCTGTAGCTGAATGATGATGATGATGAAGGTAGTTGAAACATGGAATCTTTTAAATATTCAATAAAATGCGGCTAAGCTATGGTGGGGTTTAATTCGTTGCATGCTTGCAGAAGTTACGATTGTCAAATGGTTATAAATTAACCATCAAAGGCACAGCTTAAATCTTTTAGTATCCAATGGTCTAGAATACGTGAGTCAAAAAGTAGGTACTCGTATCTACAACAAAACATAAAAAAGTGAAGAAAAGACAAAAAAGTAATTGCATTCCCTATTTTTAACTTTTCCTTTTGGCTACCTATTATGATAGGTATATTATAGATAAATAGACAAAAGTATAAAATAGTCTTAGGCTTGGTTGCACCATCTTACTTTAACTTTGACAAACGTCAAAAATCTGTCAAACTCCATACAATAAGCACCGGTTATCGTCCTAATTACTGTCAAAGTAAGATGGTGCAACCCACCCTTAATCTTCCATGTATCAGACTTTAAGTTTTTTCGTCGCCACAGATGTATAACATGGCTTAACTGAACCGCAGCTTTCTCTATTGCTCTATTGCTTTAGAAATTAATAAGCTAACAATTTAAAAATAGTTACATTTTCTGGAATAAAATATGAGTTTATCCAAATCTATTCATGAGAATAGTACTAAATCTATAGCTAGAGTATTTATATCTTATTAAAATATTTTTTAATACGTCAGGTTTCTGCAATAGTCCAACTGCATTTTTCTACTCTGTGCCCACCTTTTCAGCTCATAGAACAATAGCTTTAGAAAACTAAGTGTATGAGAACAACTTTCTTAGAAAACGCATAATTATAATATACGCCGTGTGATTAGCTATAATCGATATCATTATTGGTTAACTTCCCTGTAGTTTTCACACTGGGTGGGATTTTGGAATCGATCGAAAAATAATTTCACATGCGAGCGACTGAGGGTTGCTGCACCATCTTACTTTAGCTATAACTAATGTCAAGTCTGTCAAACTCCATATAAAACACCGGATAAAATTATAAATACAGTTACAGTTAAAGTTATAGTTAAAGGCTGAGTTCCACCACCTAACATTGACGGTAACAATAGCGATAACCGGTGCTTCTTGTATGGAGTTTGACAGATTTTTCACGTTTGTCAAAGTTAAAGTAAGATGGTGCAACCCAGCCTAAGTCTTCTGTCTTCTATAACTGAGTCTTCAGTCGTGTAACTAGTTAGACTTTTATGAGCCGTCATAGTCGATTGACATGGCAATGGTAATAAATAAATGACCTGACAGGTCAGAGGCGAAGACATTTTCTTTTTGGGCGAGGAGGCCTAAGATTCGCGCTGCAATAAGGTTTTATCGATTCCCCGCGATAGGCCCATACATTTGTCACGGCGTTTCCTAGCCTGGCTGGTTGACATGCGATAGTAAATGGTCTAAATTAAACAAACTGGCAACAAAATTCCGTTCGTTTCAGCCCAAAGACGTTCACTGCCGGACAAAGGCCTCCCCCAAGGATTTCCACACAGACCGGTCCTGCGCCGTTCGCATCCAGGCACCTCCCGCGACCTTCATCAGATCGTCGGTCCACCTAGTGGGAGGCCTGCCCACGCTACGTCTTCCGGCTCGTGGTCGCCACTCAAGAACTTTCCTGCCCCAACGGCAACAAAATTTACAAACACTTAAAGGTTTTTCAATTTCTGTATTTCAACTGGGAATTGAATCTAAAACCTCAGGATGGACACAGTATCGGACCAGGTACTAATAATAATCTTTTAATTAAGGAATTAGGTAATTCATTAAATATAATGCAATGAAAAAATAGCTTCTGCTTTAGCTATTAATAGAAAACGAAGAAGTATATCATTGGAAATAAATGATGTGATATAACAAAAATTATTCAGATAGTTTTTATGCCGTTTGAGTCAAATATATTTCTTTCCTTTACACGGACACTCATTAGCTAGATTGCTGACCTTCTAAGGGCCGAGTTCACCGACTTTCAAAACGGCTGTTTAACACTTAAACTACTGATCAAGTCATTTTTAATGTTCACCACACGTTAACCAGTGTTTAAAGCCCTTAAACAGCCGATCATTATAACCGAGGTCCAAAGCATCGTTTAACCGTCGTTTAGCCTACCATGTGTTGGACACATGCCATTTTTTCTATGACTTTAGCTGCAACAGTTGCATCATTATTTCGAAGTTCGCTGGTTTTGAGAATAGATAAACATGCAGTCTGTGTTCAATGTATTAATTGATAACTATCAAGATCACTACCTAGGCATTCTTGAAAATCTAGAAGATATAGAGACCAGACCAAGGCGACCTAGAGTATTTCAAGTGCGTCGTAATTATTACGAAGAATTTGATGAGGAAGCGTTTAAAATTAGATTCCGTTTGTCAAAACCCTCTGCCCTGAACATACTACAACTGATAGAGAATAAATTAGAATTTCCCAACGATAAGTAAGTATTATTTTATCGCAATATTATATCCACGCAAATCTGTAATTGATTAAGAATGTATTGTTGTAACATTTTACTTTATTGCAGGAATAATTCCCTGTCACCTGTAAACCAGTTGCTATTGACTCTACGGTACTACGCAACTGGATGTCATCAACTGACCATGGGTGATTTCTCTGGAGTGAGTCGACCAACGGCTAATCGTGTTATCCACCGAGTAACTGCAGCAATAGCCTCCCTGAGCCGTGATTACATCAAGTTCCCGCAGACTGATACAGACATTAGAAAAACGCAAATAGACTTGTACAATATAGCCAAATTTCCAAAAGTTATAGGTGCATTGGATTACACACATATAAAGATAATATCACCAGGAGGAAGCCATGCTGAAACCTTCAGGAATAGGAAAGGCTGTTATGTCAATAAATGTGCAAGCTATCTGTAACGCCCAGTTGATATTAACTGACCTAGTAGTTAGGTGGCCAGGAAGTAACCATGATGAACGGATATCGGATATTCAGTGCATCTAGAAGGCATGCAATTTTATTTTATTTTATTTTATTTATTTGGTTTACCAATAATTGTTACACCAATGCTTACAAAAATTAGATAACAATAACTTAGAACTAAGTGCACAATAATAGTACGGTAAACACTGCATGCATGAAAGATTGACACGGTACACTTTTAAAGGTGTATATAATAAATATATGTATAATATTAAAAAAGTGAGGCTCATCAACATTAATTTAGATGATGAAGTTGGTATTTAAGCCTGTTCAAAGAGGTGCAAAAAATATCTATATCCCCATTAATATTGTTATTAAGCTTACAGAGCCTCGGGACTGGTGAGTTAAAGCCCAGTACCGTCTTACGGAAAGGAGGATATAGAAAATTGATGGGATTTCTGGGATACCTTGTGGGAACTCTGAATTTAAATTTGGATAGAAGATCTGGACAGTTAATATTACCATTTAGGACTTTAGACAATGAATACAGACAGACAGTTAATATTACCATTTAGGACTTTAGACAAATTAGACAATGCAATGTTTGAATTGGGAATGTATGGTGATTCAGTGCTTATTGCAGACAGTGGCTACATGAACAGAAGTTACATGATGATGCCATTAGATATAGTTGCAACACCGGCAGAATCGTTATATAATGAATCCCAAATCAGGACTCGCAACCCAATTGAGAGATTATTTGGGGTTTGGAAAAGGCGCTTTCCAGTGTTAGGCCTTGGAATTAGAGTTAATTTGAAAAATGTGCCCCCTATTATAGTAGCTACAGGTGTATTACACAACATCCTAAAAATGAGAGGGGATGAAATGCTTTTAGATGACCCAAATCTAGCCCTGCCAGCACCATGGGAACACATATTACAGCAAGGAAGAGTATAGCGCTCTTTAGATAATAATATAAGAGATGTTAATCCCAATAGGAGATCATTAATATCAAATTATTACCAAAGTCTTGTTTGATACATAAGTTAGGTACCGTAGAATGGGGTTACTTTGGCCAATTTTGAACTTTGAAGGTCCATATCTTTTACATTTGTGGGTGTATAAAGATACAAAAAAAGTCTAATAATAGGTTTTTATAGCACTCTCGATTCCTGTAATAATGAGTGAAAAAATGTAGCTCAATTTTGAGAAAAAAATAAAAACTCTCTGATCAAAGTTATATGAAAAATGGTGTTACTTTGATACCCCCCTATTTTATTGCGTAGCTAGAAAGAAACTAAAATAAAAAATTCAAAATAAAATAAAATTCATTTATTTTTGGAAATAGGCTTTTAGAAAGTACTTTTACTCCGATTATAATGCCAGCAAATTTTAAAAAATCAAAATCGGCCAACGGGTTAACTTAATATTAATATTTTTTGTCATATGGGGTAACTTTGATCAAGTAAAACTCAAGAAATAATGAACATTTCTTTATTAAAATATTGGTAACAAATCTACTTAGCATTAAATCAGCCTTATTTGTTTATTTTAGGAACGAAAAGAACTTAACTTCACAAAATAATTATCAAAATTTCAACAAGAAATCAACATCCTTCAAAAAATCAACAAGATTAAACTTATGCATCAAAACATTAAGTCATAGACATTCAGAAAAATCAATAAACAATTATTTAAGTTCATCAATATCAAAAAGCAATTTTACACATTCAACATTAGTATCGCGACTCGCGAAAGGCTTTGGTTTTGGCAAGTAGGCTAAAATGTCANTAGAAAAACGCAAATAGAGTTTTACAATATAGCCAAATTTCCAAAAGTTATAGGTGCATTGGATTGCACACATATAAAGATAATATCACCAGGAGGAAGCCATGCTGAAACCTTCAGGAATAGGAAAGGCTATATGTCAATAAATGTGCAAGCTATCTGTAACGCCCAGTTGATATTAACTGACCTAGTAGTTAGGTGGCCAGGAAGTAACCATGATGAACGGATATTCAGTGCATCTAGAAGGCATGCAATGTTTGAATTGGGAATGTATGGTGATTCAGTGCTTGTTGCAGACAGTGGCTACATGAACAGAAGTTACATGATGATGCCATTAGATAGAGTTGCTACACCGGCAGAATCGTTATATAATGAATCCCAAATTAGAACTCGCAACCCAATTGAGAGATTATTTGGGGTTTGGAAAAGGCGCTTCCCAGTGTTAGCCCTTGGAATTAGAGTTAATTTGAAAAATGTGCCCCCTATTATAGTAGCTACAGGTGTATTACACAACATCCTACAAATGAGAGGGGATGAAATGCCTTTAGATGACCCAAATCTAGCCCTGCCAGCACCATGGGAACACATATTACAGCAAGGAAGAGTACAGCGCTCTCTAGATAATAATATAAGAGATGTTAATCCCAATAGGAGATCATTAATATCAAATTATTACCAAAGTCTTGTTTAATACATAAGTTAGGTACTTATCACCAATAAATAAAACTATATTTCACAAAATCAACCTATTTTTTATTATTAATAAGTACAAATTACATCACACCTACATTATAAATTATAATATAGTTAAAAAAAAATAAAGACCCAACACTTAAAGATAGTTAACTGTCTTTAAGTTTTTGGGTCTTTATTTTTTCTTGATTTAATTGTTCTTCGAGAATGGCTAATCGCACACGGGATTCTTTCTCAGCGTTTTCCTGTAAAATTTTTACCAAGCGAATTTTTTCCTTCACATATTCGTCACTTGAGCAATCAGTTTTTGGTCTTCTTCTTTTTAACCAGCCTTCTTCACTTTCTCTGGGTACTTTGAGTTGACATGATACCGGAGTTTTTAAATTCTTAGGAGCCCATGAACTCCAAGTATCATTGTCCTGTTAACAAAAAGATGACATAATATTAAAGCACTGTCTTACTTTATTTTAGGAGTATAATTAAATAAATAATGAATTGTTTGTTGTTTTGAATGTTTCAAATTTCAATGTTTACTTACATTCTTTTCTTTTAATAAGTTTGTGTGAGCATTTTGTTCGTGCTCACCAATAAAAGTTTCAACGTTTTCCTGTAAAAAAAAGAATGGTTACAATACAATTTAATTGATAACATGTAGGTTAATATTAAATTATACAACTTAATAAATATGGTTACCTTCAGTTGACTTGATATTGGAGTTTTTATCTTCCTCGGAGTCCATGAACTCAAGGTATCATTGTCCTGTTCACAAAAAATACATATTTAAAGCACTGTCTTACTATAAAAGAACAAAGTCAAGAGATCTTTTAATTTTAAATGTTTACTTTATTTACTTACATTATTTTCTTCGAATAAACTTGTGCGAGCATGTTGTTCATGCACATCAACAATTGTTTCAATGTTTTCCTGTAAGAAACAATAAGTTACAAATTGATAACATGTATAGGTAGATAACAATTTGAGATACAGAATTTGACTAATAGTGCACTCAACCTTAGTACATTATCATTGAACACACCATAGGAAATAAGAGTGCTTACACTGAATGTGGGGCTGTCAGAATCGAAATCACTTGGAATTCCCTTTAGCGCTGGTCCCAATATGACTTCCACTATTGTTGACTGTGTATTAGACGGTGGTGGCGGTGTTGGCGGTTTTCCACCACCTGCAAGAGAAAAAGCATGACAATGTAATATCCTTAAAGACACCTATATAATACACCAGGTGAATAAAAATGATATACATTACCAGTCATAAATATCTTTTTCTTCCTGTCTGCTTGATCTTTTTTCGACTGGCGTTTAATGTTTTCCCAGCAACATTTTAAGACTACGTGAGTTCGATGGCAAAACGTGCTGATGGTATTAAACTCATCTGTTAGACGGATCCAACCTTTCAGTTTGGAGGAATTTGTTGTGGCGTCGGTGCGCTTGTTTTCCACCAAATCTTGGTATTTTAAGACCAACTCTGTTAAAATACGCTTCTCGTCACTTGTAAAATTGATTGTTCTCTTTTTTTGGGGCGCCATAGTAGGTAAGTTGTAGAAAAGAAATAATTAAACACTCACAACAAACAAACACAACATCAACACGGACAATAAAAATTAGCAAGTGACATTTTAACAATGACAGTTTCCGTGACGTTATTACCCGTCCAAATAGAACACTACAGGCTAGCTTATTGATTCCAATGCGTTCTCGAACTTCTTAAGTTGAATGCGTTTTATATTATGCTACTTAATATAAATGTCACCAAAACTCGTATTGATTTAATACAACGACGCGACTTCGCTATTGAGTTCCCTTATAGCATTCATTCATTCACTCCTGAATGAATGGTGATTCCCCGATTTACTAACCACGGTTAGAATATTCGTGGTGAACAGTGAATACTTAACCGGCTGTGTAACCGACGTTTAAAAATTAATCGGCCGATTACTCAAACATTGGTTAAGGGCCGAGTTCACCAACTGTCATTTAACCAATGTTTGAGTAATCGGCCGATTAATTTTTAAACGTCGTTTACGCAGCCGGTTATCTATTCGCTGTTCACCACGAATATTTTAACCGTGATTAGTAAATCGGGGAATCACCATCCGTTCAGGAGTGAATGAATGAATGCTATAAGTTTACTCAATAGAGAAGTCGCGTCGTTATATTTAGTGAACACGAGTTTTGGTGATATTTATATTTACTAGCATAATATAAAACACTTTCAACTTGAGAAGTACGAGAACGCATTGGGATCATTATGCTAGCCTGTAGTGTTCAATTTGGACGGGTAATAACATCACGGTGCTGTTACTGTCAAATGTCACTCGTGCTAATTTTATTTTATTTCCCTTGTTTGGTCATTGAAGGTGATAATGTTATGTTTGTTTGTTGTGAATAATTGGGATGATGACATTGATGATGACTGGGTAATGAAATCGAAATTCTATTTAGTCCGTCAGACAGATAATAAAAAATACTGGACACGTATTTTTTCATAATTGAATAATTACAGTATTATATCGAGATGAAATGTCGCGTGACGTCACTTTTGAGTAAAAAATCGACATAGACGTGACGTAACGCGCCATTTCAACTCTATGTAGCACTGTGAAAAAAAAAGATAATATTTTTGAGTCTGATACCTATTTTCTAATTATCTGTCTGACGGACAAATAATTGAAATTTTGTCATCTAGCCTCTAGGTCGCCTTGGTCTGGTCTCTATATCTTCAAGAATTTCAAGATTTTCAAGAAGGCTTATGTAGTGATCTTGATAGTTATCAATTAATACATTGAACACTGACTACATGTTTGTTTATCTATTCTCAAAACCAGCTAAATTCGAAACAATGGTGCAACTGTTGCAGCCAAACTCATAGAAAAAATGCCATGTGTCCAACAAATGGTACCAAACGACGGTTAAACGATGCTTTGGACCTCGGTTATAATGATCGGCTGTTTAAGGGCTATAAACACTGGTTAACGTGTGGTGAACATTAAAAATGACTTGATCAGAAGTTTAAGTGTTAAACAGCCGTTTTAAAAGTCGGTGAACTCGGCCCTTAAGAGAAACTTTTATTAGAGAATAATTTTATGGTGCTCGTTATTTTGCTAGACAGATATTTTTAAATCAAATGACGTGCATCACCTTTCTTTAGCCGAAACTATAACAATAATGGGTGTTTTTTTACAATAACCGGGTTGTACCATCTTACTTTAACTACTTATAAGAAACGTCAAAACTTTATCAAACTTCATAAAATAATAACACCGGTTAAAGTTATCGTTACGGTTTATGTTAAAGTGCTGAGGCTTTAAGATAATGAAAAATAACTTGACATTGGCTAGGTATTTGCAAACCGCATGAAGCCGAAGTGAAAAATATGAGTAAATATTTAAAATTGTAAAGTCGTCTGCTATCTAACACTTATAAAAAATAGTCTAAACAAGGTTTTTCAGAAGCGGAAAATGGAAAAGTTTAAAAAAATCCTATTTCAATTATCATTACTTTGCATTAAATTACGATGGCTTCCAGAATAGTCCCCCACATAATTAAGAGTTAATAGCAGTTTAATTGTCCGCCATCCAGTGCGAGCTGGGCGTGCTCTCTTTAATGATACAACATATCACTGGAGGTGTCGCTTTCAATACGAATATTTAATCAAAAAAAACTATTTGTAGATCAACCTTATTATTTTAAAATAACTAGAAGAAAACATATTATTATCACACAACGGGTGTTATCACACAATTTATAAACCAAACATTGGGTAATTAACGAATTAACTCAATTTCGGTTTATAAATTAGGGGAGAGTTCGGTACCTATATTGTACCGCCGGGTAAATTGTACCACCCTCATATTTCGTAAAGTATTTATTGAATGTCTGTAATTGCAACACTCAGCGATACACGACTAAAATCAATTAATATCGGCCATGTGGTTTTTGCCGTGACAATTAACACGTGTGTTTTATATTGAAAAGTATTTTTTCATTGTTTTCAAGTAACTTTTGACAATACATGTTTAGTTTGTAATTTTGTTAAATTTAATTACAGGGTGTTTCTAATATATTATTTAGAAGCGTAAATTAATGTGGATTACAATTATTTGAAACATTTTTCGGTATTTATAAGCTATATTTTTTACCGATTTTTTAAAAGCACTATCACCTAGTCGGCTAAATTGTACCACATCAAGTTGTATGGAACTTTACCAAGGGATTTTGAAATTTTTTTTAGTAAATCATATTTTGTAATTAAAATAGCGTAGTTATGTTTGACTAACAATAAATGAAAGCAAAAGACTGGCAAAGTAGATTAGGTACAAGTGTGCGTTACGATAATTGGAATTACAAAACTTGTACTCAAAATCGTGATAACGTGTAAAACAATATCGATTGTCTATGTTATTAACTCTGTTCCTTTTCGTTTCCTAATTTGTTAAGAATGTATCGTATAATATTTTGCCATAGTTTTTTTATAGGCTTGAAATTTATTGAAATCCAATTTAGTAACCCTGTGGTACAAATTATCAAACCGGTTTGCTAAATTGGACCGAAGCTCTGAACTCGTACTTTGTTGATTTGTGCTAAATATACAACAATCATGTTAATTAATACTTATGAAATAGTAAGTTGAATAATGTATCTTTTATTATATACCATGGACATTAGCAAAAACAAAAGAAAACTATGTGTAAATTGGGATTGAAAAAAACTGGTCCAAATTAGCGGACTCTCCCTTATCATTATTTCGGATTACTAATGTTTGGCCAAAAAACGTTTCCCAAATTATCACATCGCAAACAACGTTTCGCAAATTTTCATTTGGCAAATTCTCATTTGGCAAAACAACTTATTGCAAACTTTTAATTCGCAAATGTCGTTTTTGGCATATTATTGTCTAGCAAATTATTGTTTGGCAAAGTAAGTTTTGCCAAATGTTTCATTTGGTAAAAATATTTCACGATAAACTATTTACAAAATAATTTGATTGGTGCATAAAAATTAGCTTGTGGTTATTATTTTGTTTAGTGGGTAG